ATCCATTCAAGGTTTCAACTTGCTGAGTCTCAGAATAAGTTCCGTGGGCGTCAACAAGCTAATTGGTTAGGCGCGTTGTGGTTTCCTTGGACGAGGTATTGTTTTGACCCTAACAACGAACTCATCTTGCAGATAGGTTGTTCTGCATTTGAGGAAGCTGTTAGAGTCGGACATCCTTGTCCAGAGTTTGCTGAGGTTATGCCCAGCCTCGGCCGACTAGGTCAGTCTATAGAGGGCGTAGGATATTTGCCATAGGTAACTGGGTTGTCCCGCGTGTTTTAAATCCCCTTAATAAGTGGTGTATGACGGTGCTGTTGACACTCCCTATGGATGGGACTTTAAACCAAACCGCTCTGATGGAACGGTTGGCAGGCTCATCTATAACGTATTTTGTAGATCTTAAGGAAAGCAGACGGGGATACAATCAATAAGCTTCCTGCCTGGTATCATATTGGATGCACTGGCCAGGCTATCTCATAGTCTGGTACTCACTGCCAGTAGACTGAATCAGGTAGACAGTCAGCTCTCGGTTACTGCGGGAGAGAGTACTAGTCTAACTGCCGGTACGAGTATGCTAATAGATAGAGGATCCGCCAGTCCTAGAATCAGAAAGTAGCTTGTCTGCCGGACTGGCTGCTTCATTGAATGTGTCGATCTTATTCTATATAAGGAGTTGATTTGCATCCTTGTCTGGCAGTTAGCTAAGCGAGAAGCTGTGATCGAGGAAGCCCCGCCCAGTAGTGCCTCTACTCTACTCTACTAGTCCTATTACTAGATAATAGATAGACATGCCGATCACTGGTGGCATACGATCCTTCTCTGCTTGTCTAACTCAAGCCAGATATAAGCAATCACTCGAAATAGTCATATGCGGAACACATGCAAGTCCAGATTGAAAGATAAGAGAGCCAAGTCTATCTCTTAAGACCAAAAGGAAATGTTGGGGGGACAGGTCTCTAGGGAAGAAATGCCAGACATAGGTCTAACCTAACTGTTTGTTTCATGCAGTGAAGCGGGCTAGAGCCAGGAGTACGGGATTGTTTGAAGGCCTTTCCGGTTTCATCCAACTATATATAGTGTCAAGGAATATAATTTATTTTGGGCAAGTAAAGTCAAAAGAAAGGGCTCTATTCAAAAAACTAGTTCCTGACTCCAATTAGTCAACTACGGGTGGTAAAAGAGCTGGTAGTGAATCTTCGGCGCAAGCTGTAGGAGTAGGACTATTTTAGGTTTAGGCGAGGGAAGAAGCAACGGCTAACGAGATAGGGGAGACAAAGCGAGGGGATTGAGCCTTTCTCCTAGCCCAAGGGTTTTCGTCGCTGGATTAAGACGACTTAGCTACTTGTCTTAAAGCGGAAAAGGAAGCTGACTAACTTCATTCGGTAAAGCTAGATAGCAACCGAAAGAGGCCTAAATAAGCAAAAAAAGGGGAAGTCATTGGATTATTCGCTTTGATAGGATTGTCTCCTTATGTGGTACTCGACCGGCTAGACTTCTATTACTTTTTTTTTTAGTTTCTAATCGTGTTAAGCATTTCCTATAGCTGGTGAGAAGGGATCGCTTATTAACAAACCTGGCTAAATTCTAAAGAGGGATCACAAATTGCTCTATTTGTGGGACAGATGGGGAGGACATTTTGCCATGCTTTGAAAGATTGTAGTTGGGCAAGATTTGTTTGGTCTGTTAGGCCAGAGATCTGGTCGCACTTAATTTCAGCCCCCTTACTCAATAGATTTATTAAAATATGCATGGTGCTGGTATGCATACAGTGTCAGAGCTTGAATGGCCTCTCATTTCATTTTTGAAGTAGCAATTCACCAACTCTGGGCCCAGCGCCATTCAATCTTGTAAACTCATTGACACCGCAATTGGAAAAAGAGATACGAACAGAGAGGAATAACCAACTGGACTTGAACCCTGTCTTCACTTGATTTGATTCCCTTACTTTACCCGGTCGTGATACAAGCCGCAGGAAACAACTAGGTGTCAGCGGAAAGTAAGTCCTTGAAAGTTGGCAGATCGGCATGGGTGGTTAAACTAAAGCTATTAGCTCCTCCGGTCACTCTTACAAAGCCTTATCCTTCATGTCTATCTTCCATGACAAGATGAATCTATTGCCTCCTCGCCTCACTTCCACTATAAGTTATTCTGTATGGGACAAACGCCAGTCACGCTCGTCATTGTCCACCACACCACTAGTCACCCGACTCCGAATCCCATTTTAGAGATCGTTCCTTCCTCTCTCTGCAATCAAACTAAAGCCCTAACGCTATAAAGCCTATAGCCTGCCTTAGTTGGTCATTGGGCAGGCGATGCCTTCTTCAATGAGATAATTTATCTTTAGCAAGAAGCAAGCCCTCTTTAAGCTGTCGAATATAGATTGAAGAGGGTGATCGTAGATCAGGGGAATCAAATCCCATTGCTCCAACCAACACATTTATATAAGCTAAACCTAATGTTTTTCCGGATGACAGGACGGGAAAGAAAGGATAACAGATCCTTTCTTAGGAGGGAGTCTCTATTTTCTTTTCCTAGCTTCATCAAAAGCATGATGTAGCGACTTACTATTAATTAATAATGCGAGCTAGCATTTGGGGCTAATGTATGTAGATGTGATACCTCCCGGTCAGAGACGGAGAATCGCTGTTATCAGATCTGGTAATAAACGTATGCTTAGTAGGGGGGGCTGAACCAGCTTGCTTTTGGTACAAAATTCCTCCTCCACCCGAGTGTTTATTGCTTTCTTTCTCGACGAAGGAATTGATAGAGGCGAAGAAAAAGAAGTGAAATCTTGACCAGTTCGTATAGAAGTCAAGGGAAGAGTTTTCAAGGAACCAGCTCCTGGGGACTTCTATTAAGAACGGCTTTAGGTCTTAGTATGTGGTACAAAATATAGAGTCGTGAGACGCTCTACTTCCTCTTGTTCAGTTATCGATTCGCCGGCTGTTTCCGACTTGCCCAGATGCTTTGCGAGACTGAAAGCTTCATTTTGTGTTCGGTTGTGTTATCTACCGCAAAGAGGGACTCCCCCTTTCTATTAGAACAGTGTTAGTTTGCTATTACTGCTGGTCAGGCCGACGATAATTCTATTCTAATATTGCTATGTGCGCCACTAGAGCTTTGATCATATGCTTTGAGCCGAGTCGATGAGTTTGAATATTCATTCGTGTACGTATGCCATGTAGATTGAAAAGGGAGAAGCCCTAACTGGGGGAGTATAAATAGCATACCAGATGGATCATTCAATAGAAAGCCGAAGGCGAAGAGTTAACACATCCAAAGGGCTGGGTGAGAGAAAGCGTCCTTTGTTGATACTTAGTGTACACCGCCACCTACTGAAATGGATTAATAAACGTTGCTTTCTATTGTTTGTAGCGGCGTTGCTTCCTTTTGTTCACCACGTGAAATCTTGAGAAAGAAGGCCTTGTGGGGCATCTCCAGCAGCGCCAAAGAAGGAAGAAGTAAAGTGGGCGAACGAGAATCAGATAAATTAGAGTGTAGTAACCGCATTTCTTACAACTGTAACCATTCCCTATCGGTCTATCACCCGAGCATCCGATTCAATCCTCTCCTTTCAGTGATCGCACACCTCTTCGCTTAGCTCGAGTGATTTAATACCATAGCTACTAAGTGATGGAATACCGTTGCTTACGAGGACAAAAGGCCTGATAGGGAGAAGAAAGTGAAATCGCTTGCTCGCAAGAGCAAGGAATGATTAGCTCAAGCCTATAGTATAGCGTTAGGGCACCTCACTCGGGGATTTTACCGATTGAAGTTTGCTTGTTAGAAGCTTTGGAAGTTTACTTGTTGCTTGTTGGCTCACTAATAGGGTCACGAACGGTAAGAAGATAAAGAATAGTTCCGATTATTCTGATTCTGCAACTGTAATCAATTCTATTCTATTTAGCTTTTCATTCAAGTCTATTGGCAGTTCATTCTCTCTTGGCTCTCCGGAATATTCATTCAACATGTTGCCCTAGGTAGAATGGGAAAGGACTCTGTGAACGGATCACCCAGGAGATGGTGATAAAGTTTCTTTAGCAATAAAAGGGAAGTGACCTTTACTAAAAAAGCAACAGACTGACTACTTACTAAGGATCCGAAGGAGAACAGTAAGCGATGAAATTGATTACTAAGCTGAATAGAAAGTCATTCGATACATTCACTTACATAAAGATAAATAGTTAAATTGAAATAAAGGAACTATTCTTTATCTTCTTACTCATGAGCTACCAGCACCCTCTTTTTTTGAGACTGATTACCGAGTCTTCTGTTCCTGTAAGGGGGAGTGGAGTGAGTTCATGGAGCGAGGTAGCCCCACAGGGAACCCGGATAAATTAATCTATAGCTCAAGTGAAGTGACCAAAGAAGCAAGACTAAGCGCAAAAACAGAGATCGAAAACCCAGGACCAAAGTGTTTTCGTGTTATTAGCGTCTAGGCCGAAAAACTCGTGGCTAAGGTCCATGCACACTAGTTCAACGCGCTCACGTAAAACACACAAACTGAAATAGCAAGATTAGGGTTTGGTTTTTAAGACGGCGCAGACTCAAGGAAGAAGTTTGCTTCAAAGCTAGAAAGGCTTAATAAGCGCATCTCCAGTACACTGAGCTTACACCTTATAAATTTTCAACACATTTTTACGAACATTATTATTTATTATATTTTCATAAGTAGTAAAGATTTACAACTAGGGCTTTTCCCATACCGTACATGCAAACATAAAAAATAAAACCAAACAAAGATAGGTAGCATAGATAGGAGTCTATCTCCAGTAAGCATCCGGAGTAGATCTCAACTAAAAAAGACAAAGAACACCATACATTAAAACACACTACTTTGCGTCTACAGACACTTATTTAAATCTTCTAGAAAGAGTCGACGGACCCTTTATGAAGCTTACGCACACATAGACAAACCAGCCACACAACTAAACACAACATTACAACAAAGTAAACAAACAACATATTAAGTTAAAAGAAAAGCAAAAACAAAGGACTTCTTAGTAGTTTCCCCCAGGTCTCCTGCGGATGATGGAGGCCGCCCTGATAAGCAGCAATTCGCGCTCTCGGATGAGAACCCTCCTTTTTTCTTCCAGAGCGCGAATGTGGTCCCGGAGTTCTTGTATCCGCTTTACCAGGACCTCCTCCTCGACAGGAGGCATGTGCTCCCAGAAGGCAGCCAGGGTTTGCTCCTGCTGGAGCTTTGCGTTCTCTACATTAAGAATTGCTTGCTCAATTTTAAAAAGCGTTAAAGTGGTAACTGGTGGATCCATATCTATCTCCCCTTGCTTTGCCAAATAGAGAAAGCAACTTCTATTTATAGACGTGGGAAGCTCTAAGAAGAAAAAAAAGAGTCTTTCGTTTTTCGCGGGTATCTCCAGGTGGCTTAATCCCGAAAACTCTTTCAGGAATATAACTTAATAATATAGCGCACATCAGAGAAGAGAGTAACCCCTTTTATAATATAATAAGAGAGGCCCCTTGCGTCCTTTCTTCATAGATGGAGCAATCCTCACTCGACAGCTCGAAAGCGGATCAGTACAAACCCACGTGATCCGTATTTGCTTACGTACCAGGCGTGCTTCATCGTACCCTAACTACTCCTCTTTCACTGGCTTCTACTTGTCTTTTACTGGCTTATTTGTACCCAGCTTCATGATTGAACTCCCCTCGGCCAATCGTCACTCGATAGCAGCTCCGTCCTAGCGTAGGCTGAAGAAGTAAAGCCTCTGCCTCTATCGCTTGATTGAAAGGATCAGACACTTTCCCCTACTTTTGACAGCAGAACGAATTATATTATTAATATAAGTAAGGTAAACTTGCTTTTGCCGATTGCACTCGGATAGCGGCCTGGGCCGTCCTGGAATGGGAAAAAATAAATTAGATGGACTGGACTTCGATGGGCTTTGTTTGGAAAGCCAGGAAAAGGTGGCATTTCTGGGCCAGGGCTGAAAATTGATTTGAATGCTAACATTGGGCTAACCTTCACTCTAATAGAATGGGGAAACGAGCAGAAGCATATTTTGTCTGCCATCCCTCAGGGCAAATCCGTGTTCATCACAGGCTCTGCTGGGACTGGTAAAACCCTATTGCTTGAGGAAATAAATTACTGGAAAAAATTACCAATATGTGGTTTTGTCATACAAAAAGATCCAATTTGTTTGGACTCGTTAGGTTTGGCCCATTACCTTGAGTGAGGCCGAACGTGTACACCTTTTGTGATGAAGATGTGATCTTATCCACCGATGGGTCTTGTTCTAAGCCTAACCCTCTCGTCTTAGGGTAGGATATCCATAAACCTTAAATCACGGGAACTTCCCCTTTTTGGTAGACAGCCTATGTTGGGATGACTAAGCCCACTATCCTACCTAATAGGGTCCCATCTTGTGTCGGGTTAAGGGCGCTTAGTGGAACCCTATTTCTTAAATTGTAGTCTAGGGCTTTGCTTGGCATTGGGCTTTGATATAGCTTGCTTTCCTGGTTTTAGATTAAACCTCTGCTCTCATAATTCAGTTTATAGGCTTAGAATTTAGCCCAGAAAGAAACCTTTCTTAGCATCCAATTGCTCGACTCGATGGGTACTTCTAGTGGTTTTCCGGAGAAGCTCTTGTATTTCTTTAAGGAGTTGGTTAGTGGCATAGACACCTATTAACTCTAAATCGAATATTCAAGAGACTAAAAAGACCGAGAATGCACATCTAAAAGGAGAGGAACTTAACTCGCAAAAAAGAAAAAGAGAAACGATAGACAGAAAGAGAAGGAATAGCGGGCAAAGCGATTCCAATGCTTAACGAATGGACCAATCCAAGACTTGGAATGCTACCAGAATTGACAGCAGCTCTTACCTTACTAGCACGATACCGAAATGGCCCTTAGCCAACTAAAGGCTACAAGACTGCTTCTACACCTACTACCCTCACTCTCAGATAAAGACAGAACGGACAAGAACTACTTTTACATCCTCAAGCTAGAAAGAGGATAGGCTATTGGGGCTTCCTGCGAATTCTGTGGAAGGTAACAAGACTGTAGAATATTCGAGGGACCACAAAAAGGGGAAGTCAATTGTTGCCTCTAAAAGGGCCCGGATACCGCCTAAACTAGTGCAAGGTTGTATTCCCAAGGAAGCTAGCATAGCAATAGGGAATCCATCTAGTATTGACTAAGGAAAGATGGTGCTGGGGGGTCCCACTAAGGTGAATGTTATTGAACCTTCTCATGCAAAAAAGCCATGCAAAGAATTCCTTCTACGTCCATTGCTACTGTAAGACCACCAACAGGGGGAGATGAGCAACATGTGGGGCCTACACACTTGGAACAGCCTCGCCAAGAGTCTACACAGGCCCAGGAGTTAGGTTCTTTTATGGAGCTTTTAAAACACCAGTTGCAGTAGGAAGAAACCCCCTGACCCAGGGGAAAACATCTGTCCTTATCGCTTTATAGTGCCACAAGAAGTGACAGAGGGAGAGGGAGAGGTAAATTCTCACTAAACGTTCCTCTAGTAAGGCACCATCACCAGCGCACATGAGAAAAGGCCAAGGAGAAGGTGAGAGGAAGGTTCAAACACCAGGCTACACATCCCTAAGCTCAAGCAATGATTTATTATAGCTATTGAGTTTAGTACACCGTACTCAAACGTATACCCACTCTCATACCCTACGGTAAGTGAAAGGAAGCAGTACATTCCACTTTTTAGGGAGGAGCTGAAAGATAGACCTTCCTCTTGAAACATGGGGTGAAGTATTGGGGAGTTACACAACCACTGTTGGTCTTATATCCCTACCACCAAGACCAACAGCTGCGGATTCAATAGCATCGGCGAGAGAGAGAATTCCTATTGAGTTAGCTTTCCTGGGGATATTCTATAAAGGCTATACCACGACCACCCCATAAGCTACAGCTTCCCCTGCGGGAGTTGTGCTTGGTGGAATTCACGCCTCAAATCATCACTTTCTCACCGACCTTTACCCATGCTAAACGTGTCCCAGCTTACTAACGAACCGGTGACGTAAAGCTTCTATTCTCAATTTATCCTTTCTTCCCCTCTGCAGGCTCACAGTTGTCTTTGATTTTATTGCCCATTGATAAAGGAATGACTCCTGGTGAGCCAATGAGCTCAAATCAAGCTAGAGAACTTCCTGAACTAGATAGTGTGACGGAGGAACTTATTGCTATCTATCAAATCCCAGAGTTTAGTTAAGAACCTCGTAGGTCGGGAATGCCATCAAGAATCCTTTTCCTCTCGGTGTCAGTGTCAGCCAAGTTAGCATCGGCTTCCCCAAAGCCATAATTTTAAGCTGATGACATTGATGAGTGATCCAACAGTCTTGAGTGGTAGTTCTCAAAGGAGAAGGGATCCGAGGTACTAAGTAGCTATGGAATGAAGGCGAACTAAAATCTTTCTCCCATTCTCCTCTAGGCTCTCCTCTGACCACGAGTGGCGTACTCTGATATGAGTAGATCAGATCAGAGTACCGCGCCAATGTCGTTTAACACAGCTGAGTTTGACAGACTCTGTACGGGAAGAAGGGCGGGGACACTCATAAAAGTATTCTTATTAATCACAGGTATGAGTTTTAGGGCGATGGGCCTACACCTACTATTAGAAATGCCCATCCTTCTCTCAGGTATTCTTTCGACCCCGTCTAAAAAAAGAAAAAACTTGACCTTTTTAAAGACATACCTCGAGCTCCGCAGCTTTAACGCCGGATGGAAGTACGGTCAGATGAATAGAACCAATATTATGTCAGCGACTATAGGTCGGTTGACGGCAAGGAAGGAAGTGAAGTTTCCCCCTATCCTGTATGATTTAAAAAAGTAGGGTCTGTAGGAAAGTCTATTGACATGTTACCATTTATCTCCGCCATTCAAAGAGAAAGACCCGACGCATCTCTTCCCTCTTCGAGCCAACCGTTCACTTCCTCTAACGAGCGAGTCAACAAAGTTAACCACTTACTACGTTCTTTCAGAACCTGAGATTCCATGAAATAAAATAATGATCCTCAGGAGCAAGAAGATGCTCCCAAGCGACCCCGAGGATCCAACTCACTATCCGCCGTTATCCCTTTCCATTCCTACCCTATTCTCCATTCTTATTAGGCAGTCGCCATCACAATCAGAGTTAAGTTCCTCCTTCTCGCAATTAGAATCTAACTCGGAACCGTAAATCTCAACTGGAAGACTATTTGACATGGAAAAGTCACTGCCTAGGCGTACAAAAATATCCTTATTGTGGTATGCTCCTATATCATCCTACTGATCTTTTTTTGACAGCGCACTGACGGTGATATGCCTTTAACTTTTTGAAATGATACGCCACGACTGGAAAGGGGCTTGCTAAAGCCCATAGGCCTGTGCAGACGTGAGCAATGCATTCTTTCTTTATCAGGTGGGGCTCTGAAGTTGCCGAAAATCGTCCGCTATTAGATAGATGCGCCTTATCCGGTCTTTGCGGAATAACCGCAGTTGGTGGTTTAGTAAGGGCATTAGGAAAAGGCGTAACCGCTGTTTGAGAGATAACTAGTTACTTTATTACCTAAAGTTCACTTATTTGTAGCCTATCACTAGCTTTTTCTTTTTTGGAGGAAGCTAAGCCAAGTCCAAGATTATTCTGTAAGGCATCGATTTCCGGCCGATTGCCTTCTGCAAAGGTCTCATATTCTTTGACAGATTCTCTATAAAGAGTACGATACGAATGAGAAGAACAGATAAGGGTCTTTCCCGATCTTCCCTTTACAGGTAGGATATGTGTTCGATAGGAACATTCTAAAAATGTGGGGCGCGTTCCGTCTATATCAGTTAATATGCTGCTGGAGTTGGATTCTTTGAGTGTTAAACAATAGATACATGGGGATTTTAATAACGCCAGATCGGCACATCAATAGCAGCAGACACAGAGGAAGAAATCCTTGCTCTTCGGGCTAAGATGTTTACTTTTTCGTGGAAAGAGTAATGAGAGGAAAGCCTTGACCTTCCCTTGTTCTACCCTTCGAACTCGGAGATTGAAAGGTGATTGAAGAAGATCACTCTATGCAGCAACAAAGGCAAGATCTCTATATGTTGATAGGACTGAGTCCCCCTTTAGAGATAGGGGGAGAGATAAAGCAATCGGCAGGGAGGCATTACTCCCACACGAAAAAAAACGTGTAACCAACCTTTCCTTCCTCCTCTTCTGGGCATGTCTGACTAGTGTAATCAGTCCCTTACTTTCCTTCCCCGCTGTCATAGTTGGTCATTAGGCAGGCACAAAAGCATATCCCTTCAATAACAAGCGCCG